TGGGGACAGCCTTGTTCCCATGCAGCTCGGGCTCATGTCTTTATCCCCATTCTGTTCTCACACTGTGCCGAGCTCTGAGATGTGTCAGAAATAAATGGGGCTGTTGCAGCTGGACCTTGCTCATTAATGTGTATTGCACAAGCTGCAACATACCCAGCATGGCTGCCAGCCTACACATCATCTGAGCTTTTGTTTTGTTAAAATGTGTTAATAATAAACAACGTAGTAATTTAATCACATATTTTATTTATTTATTACATGTATCTCATTTATTTTTTCCCTTCCTTGATTAGAGCTGCATGCACTTGTGCACTGGGCATGTTCCTGTTGCTGCATCCCAGGAAGATCCTCTCTTGGGGCTGGGAGATGGATGGGATGGCGGCAAGGAAAGGGTCAAAATATCCTCCTGGCTGCGAGGAACAAGGAATGTTGGCAGAGGAAGCCTTGCCACAGGAATAAGAGGTTGTCCTGGCTGTTCAGATTACTGCACATGGGGTGAGTAAAACTGTCGGTCAGGCTGAAGCGTCTGATACACAAAGGGGAATAAAAACTCATTAAGGGTCTAAAAGGAAACCCTATTAAAATACCAAAAGTAAAATGGAGGACACTCGATCACCCCGGTGTTAGTGAAGTGTCAGAGTTTGAATGAACCTGACTTTTTTTCTTCCTGAGAGCAGAGGAAATGTGTTTTGTAGAAAGCCAGGTGGGATGAGGGGCAGGTAGAGTGTCAAAGAGCACTGATAATATTTCAGGGTCTCGCTAGGAGCCTGAAATGCGAAAGGGATTTACTCGGCTTTCTGCAGGGAGGAGAGTGCTAGCAGATTTTTGAAGGCATTCCAACGCGGTTCATATTCATCTGTTTCTTAAATCGCGAGCCGCTGACTGCCGCCATGCCGCAGCAGGGAGCATCTCCTCTGCTGTCTCCCACCCCGGTGTGGGCTGGCTCACGGCCGTCAGAGTCAGCGTGGGAGCATCCTTGCCATGCTCCTGTCCCAGTGTCCCCCTGAAAAGCCAACAGACTGGATTTACGGGGCCCAACCCTGAGAGCGGTCTCTATTACAGCATCTCTTTTCTCTTTTACTCGGTCTCATGGAAAGAAATCAGGAGGCAAAAGAGCTAAACAAAATGTTTTCTTGGTGCACAGGAGTTGGAACTAGATGATCTTTAAGGTCCCTTCTGACCTAAGCCATTCTTGTGAGTCTTTGATTCTGTAAGTATTACAAAGCCTCATCATCCTGTGAGTGTTGGAAGAAAGGGTGCCCGGTTTCCAATGGGCTCGTGCCTCATGGCTGATGGATTTGTAAACCAAGTTTTACTAGGGCTGTCCCACTTGTAGGTACCAGAGCAGCCTGATGAACACCTCACTCATAGCAAATCCTCAGCGGCCACTGCCAAATCCACTTCTCAGCTTCAGCTTGTTTCTCCTGCATGAAGTCTCTGGTGGCTCATAGTCATGAATGCTACCAAGGATGGAGAAACTTTGTCCCGTCTCTTCCTGGAGCTGAAGTTTTTGGATCATGGCTGTTCAGGAAAGACATACACAGAATGTTCCTCTCTCACATGCACACCTCTTATCACTTTTAGGGACTTGTTGCTTTTGGGACTTCTACCTCCTGTCCACTTGGTTGAAATTGCCATCAGAGTTCAGTAATGGCTGCACTCCTATATCATCTGTCACCACATAAATCTCATCTCCTCACAAGACCAAGGTTCAAGGAAAAGCTTTTTCTGATTCCAACAGAGGAATAGAGGCACAGAGCTGCTAACGCATTTTTTCCTTGCTCTGCTACTGTTCCTTTCCTCATTCACAGCAAGACCCTGGCTTTTGGAGAACAAGGACAGTTTCTTCCCATCTCAATGACTTCTGGGCCTCTCATTCACTCACACACACATTATAACCACGCAAACCTTGCTTCTTTATGAAACCTGAGTGGAGCTGCTTGCACACGGCGGACAACACTTCATCAGCTCATTGCAGTGCACTAGGAAGCACTTCAAAGGCTGAAGTCACCGTGGAAAGCTTGCCTGTAACAGAGGCAACAACTCTGCAGAGATGCCAAAGGTAGCTAGAAATAAGCACAAGTCTTTTCCCAGCAGCTCAGTTAGGAGAATCTCTTTTACAGTTCCAGCACTGAGCAACCTTTTCTGGGCCAAACAAGAACAGGCTGGAGTCAGAGTGCCTGGACAGCTCTGCGGCACCTTGCTCAGGCTCAGCAGCCTGGTGGATTAGCACCTGTCCACGTGGAATTGTAGATTTAAATCCTCTAAGCCTTTTCCAGTCAATTGATCTATCCCAAGCCTTTCATCAAACAGAAGCGGGCCTTTGACTTTCAACAGAATGAAGCAGTGGTAAATATATATAGGACATGAATATATACATATATATATATATTTTCATGGACATTTTAATGGTCTGTTTGCTCTACAGCTCTGGTGTTGTGGTCAGAGAAAAATTGCACTTCTGCTTCAGGAGCTGGTGGTGGAAACCCATTTCTCTGGACCCTGCAATTCATTCAACAGGGCTGAAGTCTTCTGCATCTTCAGTTAATGCCCCAATCTGCTCCAGACTGCTCCTTGTCCACTTTACCACTACACGACGTTACACATTCATTTTTAATGTGCTCATTAATGTGTATTGCACATTACGTACCTCCTGGCCTGCTGCTAATTACTGTTTCATTTTGAGGCTACCAGATATCCCCAAATAGGCCTTCATCTTCCTTATTCCCATTCCAGGCACCTGACAAACACAAGCCCCAGCAAGCAGCAGAACAAGGCTCCTAACACTGACCTACAGGATGAAGACTATGAAGAAGGAGCCTGTGGTGTCAGACCTTGAGCTTTGCTAGTTCTGGGCACGAAACCTGGCATGGTAGAGCAGACTGAGCTCAGGCCATATGAAATTTAAGCAGCATACTTTACATCCACACCACTAAAAATAAGCCGACGATGCTAACTCTTCATCTGGAAGGAGGGGAAACACCAGCTTTGCTGTGTTTTGGATGAAATGCAGCACTAAGTCCTGACCATATTTGGCCATCACATCATCCCACAAGGCTTCTGCATGAGAGTAGAGTTTTCAAGAAATTATTCTGGCCGGATGCCAGTTCTGCCTTTATTATTTCTCCCTGCTATCTCAATACTTCATTTCATCACCTAAATGGCTGTGTTGAGTTGCTCTGGGCTGTTAAAACGCTGTCATGCTGCAGAGGCAACTGTGTGAAGGAAATGATGTCTCCACAGAAGGTGCTCCACGCAGCCGAAATCACGCCACCTATTTAGGTGTCAAGTTTAAATTTTTCATTGTAAGTACAGAAACTTGAAACATTTTGCCCAAATGTGTTGAAAGCTACGAAGACATTAAAGATTATTCATAGAATAAATATTCATTCTCAGGAAGGGATTTTTTTAACACACAAATTTTTCAGGCAGCACGTAGCAAAAAGCGTGTGCAGCCAATTGCACAAAAAGTGCAATATTCCAAGTGTTGTTTCAGTAGTTTTTATTATTACCAATACAAGAAATGAATTTACATCACATTTTTATGACTTAGTGGCAGTTTCTGCTCGAACTAAAACACTTGCTAGATAATCCTCAAACTGTGAAATAACTACTAGTAATGAAAGATGCCCATTCCTTGAGTGTTAGCCTTCAAATGCTTTCCTACCAGCTTCTGTAATACCTTGACCTTGCTGATAAGTTTTAACCAAAATTACTGTCTTACACTTGTCCTGAAAACCAGAAAAGCATCCTTATTTTACTCATAATTCCCCTGTCTACTCTTTCCCACAGAAGAGGCGACTGTTTTGCCAACAGCTTATGAATATATTACAGCTTTACATCTTCAGCTTTCCATGTTTCAGAATTTCCATTTTTGGAGTATTTTCAGTCCAGATGGGTGAAGCACGCCCGAGCCTCAGTGTGGAGCTCTGGTACCATCTAGTGTTACTGGGAAATCCTGAACATCTGCTGGATGTGGGCTCTCCTCACTGATCGCCTGATGGGTTGGGGTAGGAAAAGCCTGTTGTGATCAGTCTGGTGATTAGGGACAACCAAATGCAGTAAAACCCTTTCTCTGTGAGAAGCTGCCATCTGGGTGATGGCCACAGTGGCTGGGCCTGGCTGCAATGGAAGCGTTTAGGGTCACGTTGCTGGGATTGCATTGCAGATCATCGCCTGTGATGTCTCAGAACTGTTTGCCATTTTTGCTCAGAGTTGCAGTTCTGCTTATAACTTCCAGATGTACTGCTTATCTGTGCTACAGTAAGAGCAATATCCTTGAATATTTGCCATTGTGCCTAATTAAGGAGCTTGCCCAAAGTTATAGGTCTGCTTATAACTTCCAGATGTATTGCTTATATATGATAAATATCCTTCCTGACCACAAGGCTTCTATAATAAGAGCAACATCCTTGAAATAGCAGTGTGAGTCCAAAACAGTAACCAAGCAGTGGAAATGAGGTGGAAAAGAGTTGTCCTCAGAAAACCCGTGCCCAAACACGGTCACAGTGAGTAGGGGGACACGTCCCCAAAGGACCACCAAGACCTCCCCACCCCCTTCTGCAGCACACCAAGAGAACCGGCAGAAGCACACCATGCTCTGATGCCAATTTCCCTTCCTTTATGCAAAGGGTGAAGGATTTCACATTGGATAATAGGAAACATTTATTCTCTGAAAGAGCAGTCGGGCACTGCCACTGCTGTCCAGGGAGAGGTGGGAGTCAACATCCCTGGAGGTGTTAAAAACTGTGGAGGTGTTGCAATGAGGGATGTGGTCAGCAGGCACGGTGGGATGGGTTCAACTTGGGGATCTCACACATCTTTACAACCTCAGTGATTCTATCATGTATCTACACGAGCAGGAGGAGCCGTAAACCCAGTAGGCATAGAACCCCCCCGTCCTGCCCTTATCAAAGATGGCGGGTACCCCCCCCACGACACCACTTCGCCCTGCCTTCACCAAAGATGGCGGTTCCTACAGCCCCGCCCCATTCTGCCCTCATCAAAGATGGCGGCCCCCAGCGACCATCCAGCTCTCTGCCAGGGCGGAAATAGAGCGCGTAGCGTCGCCGCCAGAACCCCTTCCGGGGGTGGCCGCTTAGGAAGTGATTGTTCGTTCAAAGAGTGGCGGGCTGGGGCGGCGGGCAGGACGGATCTGCGCGCTGAGGGTGAGCCGGGGGTCCTCGGGCCTCGTGGGGAACGGGCGAGAATCGGGGCGGTGAGGGGCAGCGGGATGATGGGGCGGGAGGCTCCTCTGGGAGCGCAGCGTACAGCTGGGGGGCGGCGGTTGAGGGTGGGCCGAAGCGGGCGGGAGGCTGGGGGGGGTCGGGAGCGTTTGGGGCGGGGAGAGGAGGGGGGGCTGCGGTGCTACTGCGGGTCTGCGAGGGGAAATAACCGCAGTTCAATACGGTGGGCCCAGCAGACGAATGCCAGGTCTCACCCTTCTTGTTTGTTTGTTTTTTCTCCTTTTCAATTCTCTTCCCACCTCTTCATTTTTATTTTAGCGTTCTCTCAAATGTGGATGGAAAGTGGAATGTTGTTTGAGCTTCTGATTCCCGTGAAGTGTTGAACGTTGCTATTCATAGTGTGATGTACGCAGAGCTTGGCTTTGGAAGAGGCCTTTTCTACCCTTCCTGCTTTCTCTGAGCAGTTTTCTGCTGAACTGGGCCTTTCCTTTGGAGCTCAGTGACTATGGGGCCCTCTGAAGAAGAGAAAGAGCGAGACGTGATCCTGATCAGTGACGATGAAGACGACAGCACACATGGGAACTCAGTTCTCATAGTGGACCCCTTGGGTGAGTACTGTGCTCTTCTCAGCTGTGAGGTGCTGCAAATTAACTTTTGAAACAACCTGAAGTAAAATAAGAGATCTGACGCCTTTGAAATACGGCTTTGGGCTGCGAGGAAATCAAAGTAGTTCAAAAATAAATAAAAACCAAACAAACTGCTGTTGTCTTTGCCATCATAGGTTGTTTTAAAGAGTACTACTGGGTAGTTTTAAAATATCAGTAACTTCTCTGAGCCATTTTCAGTGGTGACCAGATCCTTTTTTTGTTATTACACGCCTTTTGACTGTGTAGGAATCTTTTGTTCCAAGCCAGTGTATCTTTCTTATTTGCACCAGATGAAATGATAAGAAAGCTTGTGCCTTAAAGTGTTTTAAAGAATAAGTATCAGTAGCTGGTTGATTTTTGTAATGACGTTGTATAGGCTTTTCATACTGATTCAGACTGTTTTCTCTTCTATACAGTGAAGACTGCCCTGGAAGAGAAGAAATGTGAAGAGATTGTGGATGAGGAGTGTGAACTAGTGGTTACTTTCTGTAAACAAGCAAATGTGATGCCCCATGCAAGATATGACTGTACATCACACTCATTTGAGTACGTTCAGTGATGTGGAGGCTAATATGGAGGTTTCCTTTCCCACATATAGTCATGTAGGCTTGTTAAAACTCTTAACAGCTGAAAGTGTAAGTAGAATTGGGTAAGTGCACAAGCTGCTTTGTAAATAATGCTCTGTTTTTCAATTCTGTAGACGAATGGAATGTGAAACGTGCTCACCCCTTGGAAAAAATGCTGATTTTTGTAATCAGTGCTACTGCTACATTTGTGATAAGCTGGCTTCTGAGGTAAGGATGAGCTGTAATCAAGAAATGCTCAAATTTGAGTAAACTGAATTCTTTAACAGTCTATAAAAGAAATCACTCTTATGCACACTGAAACAATAAATGCTATGTAGAGTTTGATTATTTGAATAGTTCCTACTCTAAATGTTTCTATCTATCAGCTTCACAGCGTTAAGTATGGTCACCATCTAGGTTTATTTCCAGTAGTACAGTATTGTAGGATATTCACTTGATATAAACACATGTTCATCCAGTTTGCCTGGGACTGCATGGAATGTAATTACTAAATCAGGTTGTTTCTCACTGCACTAGGCAAATATTGAATTTCTAGATTTTCCTAAGCCTAAGTAGGGGAGGGATGAGGTGTGGGGAGGGATGTGTTGGTTGGTGGGTTTTGGTTTTGGTTTTGCTTTGAGAGGAGGGAAGATGGTTTGCTTTGTTGTTTGATTGGAGGGTTGTTTTTTTTTTGTAGGCTTTTTTAGTTGTTGTTTTTTTAGAATTCTGAAAACTTTGAACTGTGAGTAAAGTTGGGGTGAACGTTCAGAAACAAAGCTTTGATTGCTCATAGTGTATTCTGTGAGGAAGATGTCAACCTAAGTGTCTCCATAAGTATTCAGGAATTAAATTACTGGGGAGGGGAGGAGGAAGACTTTTTTATTATTATTATTGTTGTTCTTTTTAAGTTGTGGTAGAAGGGCATTGCCACGTTGTCCTCTTGCCTCACCTGTCAAATTACAAAGCCAGGTAAAACCGCAGAAGCAAGGCATAAAATGAATTCTAGTCCTTCACTTATAGAGAGGAACTAACTTTTGATTTGCTGAGCTTTGGGGACAATAAAATGCTTTTCTCTGTCTTTCCCTTGTTATGAAACAGTGCCAGAATTGGACAACTTCTTCCCTCTGTCACTGCAATGCACATAACAAAAGCAAATTCTGGAAAGAACGGCGTGATTTTGCCTTGGCTGGCGTTCTCGTCATGTTCAATTTGGAGCTCACAGATATCGATGCAGACCTTCGGCATGGTGGTAAGCAAGGGTTCTCAATCTGTCCTGGCAGGCCTTTGGCTCACTGTGGCTACTCGGTCTGTGGCTCTACTTGTAATCTACAAGGACAGCTTGTCTGGACCACAGCTGTCCTTGTAAAGCTTTGGTGAGTTATTTAGGTAGCAGCTCAGTTCTGCTGTCCTGTACTCAGAGCAGACAGATCTGCAGTTCCACACTTGTGTCCTGCTTTCTTCCCCTTGGAAGAAGCGACAAATCATGCCTGGCTCTTGAGATTGGGTGCAAGTGATTTATCAAATATTTTACCTATGAATGTCTTTATTTTGGTTTTGAAATAATTTTTTGCACTGAAAGTTTCACATCTCCACCTCTCTGTCCTCCTAGGAAACCTTCTAATAAGCTTTATCCAAGAGCTTTCTGTGGAATATAATAAGTATTTAATTGGAGTGAGAATAGCTCCCACAGAGCAAGAATGCTTTTGTGTCTCAAAGCTGCCTCCTGGCCAGTGTGGTGTCTGCAGATCACGCAGCACAGAGATTGTATACAAGTAAGTGATGACAGAATTAGCAGTGTATGTTGGTCGCTGCAGGTTTTCTTTCCTTAAGTAACATAAGCAGTTTCATGGCACCTGAAACAGCAGTGTAATGGAGGGGTCTTAATTGATCAGTGAGCAATTGAACTGAATTTAACTTGGATGTATTTTAAGAATCGTCCTAAATACATCTTAAAAGATACCTGTTGTGCTGTGCTAAGATGGTAGCATTCCTGGTTACAGCAGCTTGGAAAAGCATGAAACAAACCCCTGTGTTTTTACTGATTTGTTAGAATTGAGTTTGGCTTTTACTTGGTGTGTGCTCTTCAAATTCTGAAAGTAATGCCTGTGCAAATGCCATGTTCCTGTTTCACAGATTCTTTTCAGGGAAAGGTGAATCAGTTTGCTTTCAAACTAGAATGGTCATCATTACCATTTGTTCATGGAGTATGTCGCTGCAGATGCTTTATCTCATGGACTACTTAATTTTCTCAGGTATTCTGGAGTTTATGCACTGGTAACAAGATTTTTAAATCAGGCTGAAAGAGAGAGTCCTAAAGCTGCTGCTGTCATGCTTCTGGGAGCAGCTAGAGAGATAACCCTTCATAAAGACCCTGCTATGTGAGTATCCAGTTCCACAGTTAGTGCTTAGTCTTTATTTTCTTCTCAAAAGGAAATAAAACTGCTTTTCTTTCTCCTGTCCCCCCACAGAAGCTGGCAGAACCTTGGTCATACTGCTTCACTAAAGCTTGCTGTCCCTTGTTTGTTGCAAAGGTAAGACTTATTACATAATGGTAAGAGATGGTTGCTGGATGCAAACTTTGTGACTTCACTTGAAGCACACTTAAAAGGGCTTCTATTCGAAGGCATAAAGGAAAAATGAATGTTTTAGCTCTTAAAAAAAACAAAAATGAACTTGCAGTGCTCTAAAATAAGTATATTTACTCCGTTCATTCTGTAGCATCAGGCAGCAGGACCTTGCTGGGTTCTATTAGGCTCTGTTTGAGCAGAGCAGGGAGAGCCAGCTGCCTGCTGGCTGTGTAGGCTGCAGGTGGGTTAGGATGGACAAGGTTACAAACAACAGTGTGTACCAGTCAGCTTGGTAAGCAGAGACCTCAGCAAACTATTGTATTCTGTAGCTGTTTGCTGCAGATAGTACAAATAGATTGTTTAGCAGCTCTGTTGTGAATTTCTCCCTTTTTGTGAAGGACAAGAGCCACGTCTGCCTTGTTTGACAGCCACATAAGCAGTCAGCCTTCCCACAATGGGGGGGGAAATGTCAAAGCCAAGATGATGAAGTACTTTGAGTCCAGGAGTGCTCTTTTAGGCCAGACCAGAAGATGGTGTTGGGTAGCTACTTGTGGTTAGTAAGCCTAACAATAAATAGCACCTGTTCAGAGTCAAAACAGCAGCCTTGCAGTCCTCCTCTGGGATGGAGCAGTCAGGGATGTAACATAGTGAAGTTCCCCTAGAGGATAATGAATGAGGACATCCAGCTCACTTGGCTTAATTCATTTCTCGTTTTAGCTTTTCACCTTTAACCTGAAATTTGCTTGCAACAGAAGGTTAATGAACTAAGAATTAATTTTTTTTTAGGAGCACTCAAAAACAATTAATGTTCTCACCTCTGTGACAGGTATAACCTAAATCCTGTATCAGTTTTCATTTTATACGACTATTCTTGAATTTATTAATTTTTTTACTTTAAAAGAACAGTAATGGATATTTTTTATTTATTTTTTTGCCTTCTCCCCCCCAGTTTCAAAATAATTGAGCTCTTTACCTTAGTGTGTTCTCTCCGGTTTTCAGTTAAGACAAAAATGGTTTCGCTGACTTGGGTCAGGCAGCTTCCTTACTGAGCTCACAGTGTGTTGCTTCAGTGCTTCTCACATACTTGGAGGGGATCTTCTTCAAAACCTGAGACCACAGAATGCTCAGTTTCACTGACAATGAAATACGAAAATAATTACATAGAGTTAATACCTGTATTGGCTACAAATATTAAAGCACGAACTTGAAGATAAACCCAGACTCTCTGAAGCTTAACCAAAGTATGTAATCTCTGCAGAGCAGTTTTGCACAGGATTTTCTCAAAAATCTAAGTGTTATTTCACTTCAAGGTAGCAGATTTTTATTTTTGCTTTTGCTTTTCTTTTTAAAACACAGGATCACAACACGACTTCAGAAGATGCTGGTGTTGTGTGACTTCCCAAAAAGTTTATATGAGAAATTTGTTAATTTTTTTCAGTCCATCTCGCTTCCATGTCACTGTTTTGCCTTCTCAAATAGGTATGTTCTTTGTTTATGGAGTCTGGTTTTATGCCTTTGGCTAGTTTATGAACTGACTTAGGGAATGGTTCTTTCACTGATTTTTGCTGAAGGTGTTCACTGGAAGGCTTCAGTACTCTCTGCTTTGTGTCCCACCCTTAGTATAGTGAGAAACTGTTTGATGTTACGGCTAAGCTCTTGTTTGTATGAATCCTTCTATTTTCTTTCCCTGAAATTGAACTGTGAGCTTCAGAATGTTTTATGAATAAGTCTTAGTGTCACTTCAGTGCACCGTGTTGTGCATACCACCAGAGTCCTCAGCATTTCCTCATTCTTGTGCTTCCAGCTTGAATGTCGTGCCTTGGGATCATGTGTTACTGACCACGGTTTTGAAAGGACAGAACACCACAGGGCAAAGGACACAGAAGGGAAGGAAGACGTTTCTGTGGGAAGTGCTTCCTGTCATAGAGGCTCGAGTGGAGAAACTGGTAGAAAATACAAAGTACGATCGGTTTGGGCTTGCTTTGTTTTTTCCATCTTCAAACCCCAACTTTTGTATTTGTTCATGCTACTGATTGCCATGCAGTGCTTTCCTAACCTCTGCAAGAATTTTGCATTATGGGGAAATATACAAAAGAGGGTAGATTTGAAGCTGTTCGTTGCCATTACTTATTAGCAAGGCCAGTGCTTTTTGAAGCTGTTAGAATCAGAATCAGGTAATTGTTTTGTTTCAGTAATCTCAGTGGCTTTTGGAATTTGATGTTTAGAAACAAAATCAGTTCATCAAACACTGACAATTTGGAGGACAGTTTTAAAAATAAAAAAGTAAGTGATCTTTAGTCCTCTTATAGACTTTTCTTAGCCTGCTTTTATTTGTTCCTAGGGCACAGAGATAATCTGTGGATTAATTTAGATATCTGCTGTATTCAGAAGTGGCTTTTGAAGCTTTCAGCAGTTCTGCCAGTTGTGCTGTCCTGTTTCACAGTGCTTTTATGTGAGAAGGACTGCTGTTTTGCTTCATTAACTATAGTAACTGAGTAACTGACTAGTCACTGACCTGTTGTGTACAGCTTAACACTTCTTTTCTCTTCCACTCTTTCTCCAGCTATAAAGAAGTTGTTCGCTACCTGAGAGCTGTGAAATGCAATGACACCAAAGGGTAAATGGCTTTTGTTTGTTTCATTGCCCTCAAATTGTGTCCCAGCCTCTTCTTCTACATCTAGTAAAACAGAATGAAAGGCAGTAGAATTTTGAAAGCTGTTTGCCAAGTGAAAGTAATACAGCACTGCAGCTCAGCTCTGCCTTATTGGATGTAACTTCTTAGCTGTCAGACTTAACTGGGTGTATGAATACATGTTGTAAAGCTTCTGAATGAACAAAAATCAGGTGCTCATTTATTTCTTCTTTCCAGGCTAAGAGACCTTCGAGATAAAATCCCATTCTATTTGTGTAAAACTGGAGACTTCATTGATGCTACACATTCACTGTTGTTTCCCATCAATAGCCTTGCGTGCTGCACTGCGTGCCGACTAACTCCTCTTCAGTTTGAGGTCTACCTGAAGATATTCAGAACAGGCAGTGTCCCTGCTGGGAAGGATATTCAGGACCCTGGGCCCTGGGTTACTGTTGGCAAGTGATTTTTTTATTATTATTATTTATTATTATATTTTTTTTCCTCTTATATATTTAGGATCTTATTTAATTGCAGCTCTTTAAATTCAGAAATATTTGGGGGAGGCTCTGAATCCAAATGTAAGTTGTCTGGACTAAAGCACAGTGCAGGTCGTTAAGCAGGTAGAGTGTCTTTATATTTGAGTGCGTGTAGCACAGTGCACAGAGAACGTTGCCTTTTGTCAGTGGTGAAGTTCTTTTGCTGAGAACAGCCCAATAAAAGAAAACAAAAAGCTCTCTATTATATCATAGCATTACAAATGGCAGTGCATAACTCAGCACTGTGATGTATTGTATCTCGAGAGTGAAAGTTTTCAGATGGAAGGGGTCTCTGACCTGTATATTGAATCACAGAATGGCTTGGGTTGGAAGGGACCCCAAGTATCAACAAGTTCCAAACTCCCTGCCACAGGCAGGGCCACCAACCTCTGGATCTACTTGTCAAATGTACTCTGAAGTGAAAGGTTGATTTTGGAGGTGTTCAATTATTAGAGTTCTTAGAAGCATGGGATACTGTAGTCCGATTTGCATAATAAGACTTTGTTAGGGGTCACCTGCTGTGATGGTTTTGTCTAAACTGCACTCAGGTTCTTTTTACAGCTTTCCAGAATAGCATTTCACAGTTGATGAAGGTTCTGAACAGAAAAACTACTGTAAAATATAGTAAAATAGCTGTAGCTGCTTGTTTTTCCTCTAGGTTTCTGTAGAAGTATGTCTTTAGCAGTATTTTGAGCCTGTTCATACTCTGTGGTTACTCAAGGAATAAAAGATGCATCTTAATTTTTTTTCTTCTCACAGGGTCTCCAATGAAAGATGGTGTTCTGATCAAGCAGGCATTCAAACTCCTTTACAGCAATCTGTCACTGTACAGAAATGTGAGTCCATGTTAGAACTGCTTATACGGCCTGTTCAGTGGTTTTGTACCTTACCTGCTTTGTTCAGTTGCTTATCTAATGAAAGGATTTACTGCCAGAATCCTCTGAGTAGTTCAGACCTCTGTGAAGCTTTTCTGTACTGCAGGATTGGTTTGGGGACGTGGTGGAAATAAGTCTGCAAATGTTTTCCTCAGGTAGCATTTCTGTGCTCTCACAGAACGTGTCGAGTTGTGAGTGATCCATTGACTCAGCTGGAGCTTTACTGATAAAACTATGACAAATCCTGCTTGTAGGCAGTTCTTGTAGCTTCAGTGAATTTAGCAGCGTGCCATAGCAATGATGGAGTGATGAGAAAATTTGCCATATATACGTTGAATGATATGTTCTTACTGCTCAGCTGTTCAGGAGAAGCTTTCTCTATTACGTTGTGCTAGTGTCATCTTTTCAGTGGAGCTGTAATGGTTACACCAGCAGCAGGTCTGTTGTTTCTGTTCATATTCCTTAGAATTAAAAGGGGTGGAAAAAAGCCTCGTCTCTACAGGTGAGGCAAAATGGCTGTTTCTCAAGATGACAGATCAAACTGAGAAACCCCAAACATTAACCTGTGATTTGTGTAGACGTGTCTGGGAGTTCTGTTAGAGGGGCTAGAAGGAAGAGAATGCATATCAAGGAGACTTATTTTGATCATTGAAAGTTGCTAAAGATGTATGTGATCCCGTAAAACAAATTTTCTGTTGTATTTCAGCCTAAATGCTGGGGTTCCTTCATCATGATTATGGGCAGTAGCTGTTTCCTGGAAAGAAATGGGCACCTTCGCCCTCTGACAGTGAAAGAGCCCCCAGTTACATTTCAGCAGGTAATAAATAACTGCTGCTGTGCTCTGAGATGGAAGAATCTGTTGTATGGTTTTATGCAGTGCTTCATTCCGTGTGGATATTGGCTTGTTCAGTTAAATATTAAGGCTGACTTGACTTTACCTCATCACAAATTCTTACAGTATGTGCAAGTGTAATACTTGATAAGTTGTTATTTGTGAGTGGCAAGTGCAACAATGAATAGATGAACTCTGCTTGCAGCTCAGTGCTAGATACCTGTTCTGCATTGTTTAATATTGAGGTGAATCATGTAACAATAGGAAAGAAATTTAAGTGTGTTAAAATAGCTCTAAGAGACAGTGCCTGGATCTTTTTTTTCCACAAGAACAGAAATAAATGTCTGCTAAGCACAGTGGATTAAAATTAAGAGGTTGTATGATATTGTTTAGTTAGTGCTGTAGAAATTCAGCTTTCTCTGAGTATGATGAACAATCAACCTCACTCGTAAAGACACTGAAAAGTAAAAGCACTCTGTAGTAGATAAGATGCTGGGTGTGGTTTGATGTGTGTGAAGGCACCCTTTCTCTTCCTTCTGACTCGTTACTCCTGTTGCAGGGGGTGCTGGTTGCCAGTGATGGTCTCTTCCAGGAACTGAAGGCAAAACTTAACGTTTCTTTCCCACCTGGTATTTTCTCCCAGGTAAGTGTGCATCTGTCAACAAGGGAATTGACTGTTTGTTTTATTGCGAGGTACCTGAAGATACTGCAGTATTGAAAACATCTGGATTATCGTAAAGAGCTTCTGAGATGAGGTTTGAAGTTTTGGGGGGAGTGGCATAGGACTGGTCTTGGCACAATCTAAAGGTCAGAGCTGTTATCTGAACAGACCCTGACTGGTTTTTTGTGTTCAGAACTGGCACTGTCTGCAATCCATCCAAAAGTTTTAATTCATTGCTGTCCAAATTTATGTATCTCCTAAAGTGGGACAGTTGGTTATCAGTGACTCTGTAGTAAATTCTCAGAGTAATCTTGTGTTTGGTTCAGATGGGAGGCTGTCCTTTGAGACTGACAGCCTGTTTGTCTCAAAACTCAGAATAGCCTGGGATTTCTCATCTTATTGTGAATGATGGAGCATGCTTAAAGGTGTTTTGAGACAAATAGTTTGTTAAATATAATCACTTACCTAAGAAGCAATTTTATTCTCTTCCCAGTTCTTCTGTGGGCACTATGTTTAGCTTTACCTTACAGTATGCGACTCCTGGGCCAAACATTTTGTCCCATTAATTCTTCTGCTTCTGTCTGGTGAGAGACCTCATATTTCTAGGTGGACTTTGAGATCCTCAGATGAAACACACTACATAAGTAGAAGTATCTGTTCTATTCACCCTTCCTTCAGTCTCTGTAAGATTCTTCTGAATGTAGTATCTGTCATCCAGCAGATGTGACTGGAGTGGTAGTAGCTTACTGCTGATTGGACTGGAGGCAATATACAAGTAGTGGGAAAGGGGACTTTTAAATATAAATCTCTTCTTTTTTTTTTATATCTCTTCCTGCAGTTGCACCAGGAGGCTTGTCTTATTCTTGCAGTGCAAGCAGTACAACAGATGGTTATCTGTGAACTCCCATACTTAACTTCCTTCCTAGAGATATTCCTGGCATTTGGGGTGAGTCCTGGAGATTGACTTCAGTTTGAAGAGATTAAAGTGGATTATATTTAAAATGAACGTAACGCCTACTTGGAGATTCTTGCATGCATTCAGCCTAGTTTTGTTCCTCTGAAGCTTTACTGGCCTTTAATTTTTTTCTGTTATTTTTAGGGTTTTGTTTTGTTTCAGAAACAATTGAGAATTAAGTTGAATTAGTGGCCTTATTTTGTCTCTTCCTAGAACAACTTCTGGGCTCTGAGGCTGTTACTGAATCACCTTTCCTATGATAAGCACATTCTTCATGGCGTTGTCGATCTGATTTTGAGAGATCTGAATCGTCAGAAAGCAACAATGCTGAAACTGTGAGTAAACACTTCCTGAAATCTGTCTGTCTGTTGTTGGAAACATTTAACAGCAGGCTCACAGCAGGAACATTTAGCAAAGATGCAAGCTTTAGCTCTTTGAAAATGACCAGCCCAGTGCTTTGGGTAATAATGTGAAGAAAATGCTAGGAGTCAATAAGAAAGTAATGGGGGAGGGAAGCAGGGAAGTAATGGGGGGAAGCAGGTGCATAGTTTATGTAAATGTTCTGTGTGTGATCCTGGTGATTCTTGAAACATGGGTTGATCCCTGTGAGGAACTGGTTGACATGGCTTGAGTATCCCAGCCTGGGGCTGTGGCAGTGGTCTGCAAAATCTCACATGATGTGCTGATGGTGACCAGGGAATAATTGTTTGTGGTTTCCTCTTAAGCAAGAGCCTTGAAGGAAATCTAATATGGCAAAACCAAGATGGATTAAGGTTGTATTACTTGGAGCTGTGAATTTGGTTGACAGAGGATGCTGTGGAAATGAAAGGTATATATAGATTGAAGAGCAGGAACATTGCTGGAAGATTGTAAAGTACAGCTAGCATAAAAACAGCACTCCAGACCTGAGGAGGCTGAAGAGCTCTTGAAGATGAGTGTATCTAGAAAATGATTTCCTTCAGATCTATATGAGCTAACACTGCTCCTCAGCAACCATTCCTTCAGACAGAGGGCATATAGGGCATCTCCCTCCATGTGTCTGGTTTGCAGAAGGCCAAAACAAATATACTTGTCACAGAGCCAGGACACTGAACTGGATGGGGCCACTCATCTGACTCAGTTCTGTATTCAGGTAGCTGTGAGGCCCTAGTATTTCTTATGCAGCAATGCATTATTGGCTGGGTACGTCTGAAATAACTGTGGTAATCTGAAGAATATGTGATCATGGCATTGCTATGTCCCTCTAATCAGAGGGGAGACTGTGGATCTGAATTCCTATAATTAAATGCCCCTACTTTTAAAGCAGACTGAAGAGTGAGAAAGCGGTGTCAGGAGGGAAGCTACACAGACATTGCCATTTGTCTCTGCTGCTGAACTGATGCTTTCTGTTTTCTGGTTTTATATCACTTAGATGGCAAAACCTTGGTCCCCAGTACGTGGGTGAATTTGTTTGCCTGTTCCTGACTTGCAGAAACAGGATACTGCAATCCATTGGTGTGTTGGCTCTGGATATAATTACAGAGAACTTGCACGTGTAAGTGTTAATCTTTATCGTAGTCAAATAGTCAATCACTGTATGTTGCAACAGTGCTAGTAGTTTCCTTCTTAATTAACAAGCTTCACTCACAATTCACTCCTATTTCATGGACTTCCTTATTATAAGCAACAGTAAAGATATCAGATGTGATGAGTTGAAAAGATCTGCAATTGCTCTGTGTTCCTGATCAACCAAATGGCCTTCTGGCTTCCCAGAGTTATGAAAAGCACAAAGTGTGTATTGTTGTGTACTTATCAGAGTACGCTGGGTATACTGATGGTAACAAAATGTCCTCTAAACTTGTAAGAAATGCTTCGTGTAGTGGTGAGAAAATAGATGCCCATGTTCAACTGAAGATTCAGGAACATCTGTGTGCTGACACAGACTGAGGACGTGGTTAAGGCTGTGCTTGTCAGGGGGACCACTTGCATTACAGCAGCACAAAGTAGAAAATGGAGTTCTGAAAAGATCTGAGTACAATCTTTAGGTTGCCAATGATAGCAACACACTGGTTGGATGATCTTGGAGGTCTTTTCCAACCTTGGTGATTCTGTGACTCTTGACGCGTCGCTTCAGACTGCTGGCTGATCTGAAGTGCAGTCCTTGCTCCCTTGTCTTCTAGGCTGTAAAGGATCATACACTGTAAAGTAATAGACACAAATGTATTGGCATGATAGTCTTAAAATGCAGTGACTCAAGGGTTATATACCAGAAGGCAGTAATTGCCTGCTCTGGCACTTTTAGCTCACACGTAGCAGCAGAGGATTCACTTCTTTGTAACTGTCCTAAGTAGAAACCACAGACATGTGAGTTAACCTTCTTTGCAAAATGCTTCTGTTTCTCTTCTCACCAGCCTTTGTTGTGTGTATTTCAGGAAATAAAATTCCTGATCTCGCTCAGTTCTTTGAGTTGAGTTCTACTGAACCAATTTGAACTCTAATAAATGCCTTTTTGCATCTCTAGCAGCATTCAAGGACAGGATCTGATTGGATCCTTTTTATTATGGTCTGCCTTTGTGTTTTTGTTTGTTTTTTTTAAACTGTGTATCTGATGCTAAATTCATCTGTATTTGGAAGCTGAATGGAGTAGTTGGGGTGGGTGAAAGTGGGAGCAGATTTGTCCCTGTAAGAAAATGGGTTGAGAACTTTCTTAATCTGTTTTTCAGGTGTCCATGGGCAAAGCACCTTTACAACTTCTTTCACAATGCAGTAAGTATCTCTGTGTTCTAGAACTGAGCAAAAGAGTGTGTAAATGACAAATACATCACCTTTGAGAAATATATTGATATGAGATGATTTGATAAGTGATGGTTAATACTTGATACATGTTGGAAATAATTATTTAGTAGTATTGCTCATTGTAAAAATGACAAGTTACTGATGTGCATTAATCTCTTTCTTCCTCCTCTGTTCAGAGGTTAATGCAGCTGCCCCTTGGTGCCACAACTCATCACGAAGTCTCAAAGTTCATGGATGTTCTTGAAAAATTGTGATCTAGCCAAATTTTCAAGCGTATTTTTCAACTTGCCTTGATCCAACACATCTCTTCCTGGAGTCTTTTGTGTTCTGTTTTGGTTGTCATCTCTTCCCTCGCTTGAAATGATCACCTAAAAACTGACTTCAGACCAAGTGTGATAATAAAATCTCAGATCTAGATGGTGAACAGCATTTGTATCCTGGTAGGTGTGTTCTGGAAACTTCTTTTTTACAGGCACATGTATTAAGCTGTCGTTTAGAGACAGGAGCCACACATCTTAAGAAAAGCTGATCTATAGAGAAATGCTCACCAGAGACAGCAATGGCAAGAGGAACGAGGGGACAGAAACAAAGTGGAAAGCATCAAAAGTCCTTCGCTTATGAGTTGCACAGGTGTTTTCTGAGTGAAAAGCCAGCAGAACTGCTAAGAAAGCAGTTAGACAAGCTGCTTAATTTAGGAAAACTGCCTCTCCAAAGGTGTACAGCAGTGTAAATTAGGATGCTGTTTGCACTCCTTGTGTTTGTATAGTGTATAATTATAAAAATAAATCACTCCAGTTAGTATTGTTTGGCCTCAAGCTTTCTTACTCTAAGAAATCAGAATGAAGAAAGCATTAACTTGTTTTGTTTGTATATAAAAAAAATATATTTTTTTCAAGGCATTCCAATTGTAGGCTTTCTTAAACGTTTACAATGGGTGACTTAAACTGGTGCTGAAGGCTCTGTGTTATTTCAAGTATTATAATAGTAAGAGCTGACTTTTTTGGGAATTGTGGAAGTAGAAATAGGGAAGTATTTCTTGCCCAGTTGTGCTCTTCTTTGCCCCAACATGATACGTGTGTGCTGTGGTTTGGAAGGCAGGGTAAGACTTCTGAACACGTTGATATATTCTGTCCAAACTCAGTTAAGTTATTGTCCAGCTTTTCTACAGAAAGTGTACATGCATCTAAAAGGAAAAAAGGTTTAATAAAAAAAGATTTAATAAAATGATGCCTGGTCTACGGTTTTGTTGTTGGGTTGGGTTTTCCATTGTGTGTTGAGTTGCATGGGCTCCTTGGTGCCATCCTCCTGGGTGCCCAGCATGGAGCTGGGAGCAATTGAGGGCACTGTGCTCTGTTACCCTTTGGTTTGGATTCACCATCACGGGGAAATGCAAGAACTGCTTGTGTTGCAGTAAGTAAATAGCATGGCTATTCATTATTTATCTGCTGCTGAATTTTAATGAATTATAGCAGCAATGAGTGAAGCCCTTATAGTGAGGATTATACTATAGATACTGATACAGTCTTTTATGTATGAGAAAATGATGTTTTCTAAAACTTAGCACTTGGCTTTGTGATACCTGTCCCTGCCTGTCCAACCCCACGCTTCATCAGCCACAGCAGAAAACATCGTGCTGGTGCCCTGGGACTGCAGCCAGTGTAAAAACCCAAAGGTAAATTGAAGGCTGATCTTTTCTATTATTTTTTTATTTCCTGCTTTGCTCCAAGTATAATAGAGAAGAACAGAACTCATTAAAAATTGAAGGATGTAGTTTGAAGTAGAAAATGTGCATCTACAGCTGCCTGATCCAGATATTGTATTTAGCAAACAGAACTCTGTTTTTGCAAGTGTGTGCCAAACAGCAAACAGAACTTCTGCAAGTGGGTGCATGTATTGACCAAAAAAATTTAAGCTGAAAGTGGGATTCTAGAAGTGTGGAGTAGGAATGCTGTTGTCCAACCCAGGAAGGTAATGCGTGTGTGGACCAGGAGTGCCTGGCTGTGATGAGCAGACTGAGTCGGATATGTGCATCATTGGGTGGTTTTGGGATGCCTAGCTGGTGAACTGAGTGGTTGTGGGATGAATGGGGACTTCTTGGGGTGATGTGTAAGGAGAAAGCCCACCTGTCGTGCGTCACGGAGCTCTTTCAACTCTGTTTAAGGTGCACAAGTGCTGCCTATCCCAACGTGGCTGAGATCGTCCTGGATCTGTATAGATACAAACTATGCCTCCATCCTTTCAAGTGCAGAATGAGGAGCTGCCCCTCAGCCACGCAGGAGGCACAGGTGGGTTTTTATAGGAAAGCTTCTCAGCACTGACACTGCCCTGTGGGCTGGGACAGAGCTGATATCGTTTCTGCCAAGGACGCTAATTAACCTGCTAAATGAGTTTGTCCCTTCAGAGTGTGTACTGGAGAACTGATTTATCTAAAATGCCATTCCACAGAGAGCTTTAATTAGCAGCTGTGCTTCCAGGGGCGGATGGGGGCTGCAGGTTGGTACTTTTGGGGTCTCTCACCATAAAATGCTATTCTTGGTGTGCTTCACTGTGCATCAACCAGTGCTGGCACTGCCCATAGGTGCCCCCAGAGCAGTGATGAGAGCAGGACGCAGCTCACTGCTAGGCCAGCCCCAAGGAGCAGCTCTCCCAGCTGCCCACCACACCAAAAATACCACGTTTTAATAACTGGACTGAGCAAAGCGCAACCTGGCTTGTTTCTGGCTGCCAGATTAACAGATGGCTACAATCATTAATATTGCAAAACTTTGGGAGTTCATAATTCTTTAATCTACAAAGCCAGGCAGGGTAACTAATGCGGCCCTGCAATCTGCTGTGCAGGTCCCCCCGTGGCCCCAGTGGGGGATTTGGTGCACGTGGCACTGCCCAAATTCTGCCAAGAGCACCGGGGCCGCTTTGTCCATAGAAGAAGGGCCTTGGGCCACCATTGCCTTGGAGCTGGTGGCTGTGAAATTTGCTGTGCTGGGTTCTGGTGGCTGTGCCTGGCCCCGCTGCAGTCAGATTGCAGAAAATCCGCAGAAATCCAATCAGCCTTCTTCAGTGTGGTTTTATTGCTAAAGCCCAGCCTTTCCCATGATTGTTTGGAGGCAGTGCTGCGAGATTACCACTGATGTCAACAGCGAGATAAGCCGCGGGGCAGCGCGCGGTATCGCTGGCCTCGTTAATGGGTGGCCGATGGCCTATAGGAGCATGATCCCAAAAGAGACCAGCCCCACGGGGCCCTATGCAGCGGTGCCATTGCCTCCAAGTGAGGTACTGCCAGCTCAGCATCGCCCCATTGATCCCTGGCTGCATCCCAGCCCCGTGGCAGGCAGAGGGCGGCAGGAGCCCATTAGGCACACGGCAGCGCCATTGATTGGGGTGGAAGACGACCGCGGATATGGGATGGGTCAGTGTCTGCACAGACATAGGTTAGATATAGACATATAAATAGAGATGTCAGCAAAGAGTAAAGTCCTTGTAGTGAGGATTATGCTATAGCTAATGGTGTAATCTTTTATGGATGAGAAAATGCCTTTCTCTGAAGATTAGCTCTTGACTTTGCAGTAGCTGTGCCCAACCAAACCTGGCGAAAGCATCTCTAACATATCACATGTTCTATATGCTATGCTGTATTACTTATTTTATCAGTTATATTTTAAAGTGTAAAACATACATAAAATATATGTGCATTGCATTGTATTAGGGATTTATTATCTTACTGTACTACAACTTAGCTTCGATGATTCTTATGTATCCCTTCTAACTTGTGATATTCCATGATGCAACATAGTTTAGCTATGTTATTTTTGCATATGTAATGTTTTTATTTCACCTTTTCACCAAGCTCGCAGGGCAGCAGGGCTGCAGGGAGGATTCGCTCCCTGAGCTCCAACTCACTGGGAACCCCTTGATGTGGCAACACCAGGTTTGGCTTTTTGGGGTAGGATGGGGCAAAGCCAGCACTGCTGGGGGAAGGAGTAAGTGCTGTGATGTGAAGCTTAGTGCTTGGAGCACCATATGGCAAAAAACCTGCTTGCAGGGCAGTGTAGAGGGCAAACAGCCCAGCGTGGGTACAACACGCTGGCCACACAGGGGCTGGGGCAGGGCTTGGCCCCTTCATCCTCACCAAATATTTGGTTTCCAACCACTCAACTTTCGAAGTTGTCTTTCTTCTGTAATAACCCCATCCCCCCCCTCTATCCCTCCAATCCCCCCCGTGAACACCTGCAGCTCCCTGCCAGCACCAGGAGAGCAGGAAAAACAAGGAAACCAGGAGCAGCATAGGGGTAAAGCCACGGTGAGGGGGTGGAAGCTGGGGGGGTGAGGGGGTCCTTCTGGTGGCACCTTGGAAAACTTGGACCGGAACAGGGGCAGGAACATGAGCTCAGATGCAGGCAGGGATGTGACAGGGACACAAATCAGATCTAGGCAGGGATGTGATTGCAGGGATGCAGGAAGGGCTGTTGGTGGGGATGCAGACAGGAGCAGCCCTCCTGCTGTGCCGCTGTGTCCCAGCACTTTTCTCCACGCGTCCCCAAGAGACCCACCCGCCCCTAACAGCCCCATTTCGGCAATACGGCCTCCGCAGCCCCGGTACCAACACGCTGCCTCTCCATCCCCGCGGTGCTCACGTTCCAGCGGAGCCAAATCCCCCGGGAGCTGCGGAGGGGGGAGGACGCTCTCATTATCCGGCTCTTGCCGTGTCGGAGGCAGCTGGACCGGCCGTGCATTAATAGATTACACAGAGGATTTGGGCTCGCTGACAGCAGCGAGGGCAGAGCTAGCAGGAGGCGAGGCCAGCCCGGCTTGCTGAGCCGCGGGGACAGACGCAGCCCCGCGCCCTCTGCCACCTCTTCCAGCCGAGGTAAGTGGAGGGCTGAGCCTTGGCACTGGGATGGATGGAGCGGGGATGGGGACGGTTGTGATCCTGGAGAGCTGTGGGAAGGCCGGAGAGCAGGGATGCTGCTGGGCACTGGGTTCATCCTCCTCCTCCCGGCTGTGCCGAGTGTTTCTCCCAGGGATGCTCTGCGGAGACACGGAGCTGCTGAGCTGTGCCCTGCGCGGGGCTGAGCTGGGATGGGGGTGGATGAGGGATGGACGGAGGGTCGGCCCCGGTTTGGTCTTCACTGTGGGCTACCAGAGGGTGGAGAGGGCACAGCCTCGGCGTTGCTGGGGTCATAGTTGGGGATGGGCAGGAGGAGCCGTCCTCTTGTGCCATGCATCCCTGCGGTGGTGAAGGGAGCTGGAGTCGTGGCAGTGCTCACAGCTCATGCTGTGCCTCAGTATCCCTATCCCACCCCGCTGTGGGTCAGTCTCTCCATGCAGTGCAGCAGGATGTTCAGTGCTACCCATACCCCCACCAGCCCTCCCCACATCCACAGGGCCGCTGTCTCTGAGTGATGCTTGGTGCCACCAGGAGTGAGGCTGAGACTTGGGAATCCCATTGCGGCCCCATCTATCAGCCTGGGGGCTGCAAGGCAGAGCTCCACTGCTGGGAGCTGAGCCATCTGTGGGGCCATGCGTGGCCAAAATCCATCCTGGCCCTCACTTAGAGCCATGGCAGGAGAACAATGTCCCCCACCTGGACAGCCTGTTTGTTATTTGCACTCAAATTGCAGGCAAATGCAGGCTCTCAGGGCAGGGTTAGTGTGAGCTCTCAGGCTCCATGTCACACAAGGCACTTGTCCCTGTGCCACCACGGTAAGCACAGCCCTCACCTCCAGCCAAGGCACCAAACTCTTCCCAAAAGCTCTCGGGGCCGTGGGTGGGATGGGGAACATGGGGACGCTCTGCCTTCCAGCCCCGACCGAGCCCCAGCGCCATGGATGAGTGGGACCTGCCCCAGTGGAAGAAGGAGGTGGAGAGCCTGAAGTACCAGCTGGCCTACAAGCGGGAGATGTCCTCCAAAACGATACCTGAGTGAGTGGGCACAGGGCAGGGAGCGGTGGTGTGATGGGGGCTGAGATGGGCAGAGTATGTGGATACTGGGCTGAGCACTGCCACAAAGCCATGGAGGGAAGGGGGGGGTGGCCAAGGAAGGCTCTGTGACCGCTGTGCTCTCCCTGCAGGTTTGTAAAGTGGATAGAGGATGGCATTCCTGAAGACCCCTTCCTGAACCCAGAGCTGATGAAGAACAACCCCTGGGTGGAGAAAGGGAAATGCAGCATCCTCTGAGAGCAGGTGCTGTGCATTAACACTGAATGTACACTTTTTTTATTAGCTAG